TGCTTTTTTAAATGTTTATTTCTTTATTACAGCAACCTAAAAAGTGCGAGGTAGATCACAATTTGCAGCTTTGCATTAAACCAGGGAGCCAGCTTTCTATTTTTAAAGTTTTTCATTTTCAAAAGAGCTTCGTTGCCTAAAGCAGGACGCAGAAAACTAGCAACCTCATCAACAAAATCATCAACCTGTAAAAGCAAATAAAACAAAACCATGAGCAGTGCTGCTTTTAAGGTAGTTAAGGGCTGGTTATCCTCTCGCAGCAGTGTGTCGCAGCGAGCTTGACGCAGGTATATAGATTGACCAATCAGACCAATCTGATTGGTTAAATCTACATCCGCTCTACTCTATGCGTATTTCCTGTTTGGTTCCTTACCGGATTGTTTTGTTTGTCTGACCGCCATTGTGGAAATCAACTGGTGAAGATGGAGCAGCTGGAAGAGCGAGATGCGTGAGAACGCTGGGACCCTTCTTCCACCTGGATCCCCGCTCTTTTTGGCCCTCATGTCCCTCGTTAGTTCCTAGTTCCTGATTGGCCCCTCTGGCTTTGTAGCCTGGAATAACATAGAGCAGACCACGCTTCAATATTTGGCATAAATCAAAAATATCTTTGACAAACTCACTGCGACACACTGCTGCTGGAGGATAACCAGACCTTTAGACTTTTCTACAGCTTCAATTGATCCTAAATCAGCTGGGTGGACATGTATAGGAAAGGATTCCATTGTCTATAGAAGGTCTTACAGCTGATTGTTCATATGACAAACACCAAGCATGAAGTTATTAGGCTCATCAGGGATTCCTGTTTGATCCAAACACTGGATCTGCAGCTTTCTTCATGTTCAGTTCAGATTATCCAGCAGAATCAAATGTTTTCCTTTAACACAGAACATTTCATTCCATTTCTTTGTTTTCCTCAGATCATAACGACGGACGAGGCGGAGAGAAGAGGCCATTTCTACGACCGGCAGGGCTCTACTTACCTCTTCGACCTGGATTATGTGGAGGATGTGTACACTGTGGATGCAGCTCACATAGGGAACATTTCCCACTTCGTCAATCACAGCGTAAGCCTCTGTTCACCGCCATGTTTGATGGTCAGTCAGGGGGAGCTGAATTATTTATCATGTTTGAGGTGTTAATTGAACCTAAACTAAGAAACTAAAATGAGCCTTATTTTTATTTTTATTAAGTAGTTTCATCAGTTTAATTCTGATTTAACAGAAAGGGAAAGTTGGTTTGGAGGATTTGATTCAGTTTCATTGGAAAAATGTTTTTTATATTTGGGTTATTTTATCACCTTTATGACCTCACTTGATGACCTTTAAATGACAGTTTTAGACGTTTCTATAATTGTAAACTTTCTTTACTTTTTTAGTATTAAAAGAAGGAATAACCGTACAAAACTACGGTGGCCCTGATGTGCAAACTGCAACTACAAATCTAAAAGCGCAAAAACAAAACTACATAAAGCAAAGCGCAACTACATTAAGGAAAACAAAACTACATAAAGCAAAGCGCAACTACATTGAGGAAAACAAAACTACATAAAGCAAAGCGCAACTACATT